GGAGTGAATGCAGGACCTCACTCATGTTAGGCAAGTGTTCTACATCTGAAGGACATCCAAAGCCCTTTTCACTTTTGAGATGGACTCTTGCTAAATTTCCCAGGCTGTTCTTGAACTTGTGATCCTTCTGTGTTAGCTTCCTGAGAAGCAAGAATTACAGGCATGAGCCACTGGGCCTGGCTTCATGTATTCCTGTTTTGATTAGGACATGCACAATTAGAGGATAAAGGAAGAGACTTAGATTTCAGATGGAGATTTTAACCTGTTTTGTAAGGCATTCAAACTTCAACAGTCTTTTCCTTCCAAGTTTGGGCTTTATCTCTGTTCTTCCTGGAGAAGCACACATATTTATTAGGTTATTTTTTCTCTATAAATGTGCTCTATCAATATGCAACTAGAAGTGACATGATTCTTACCTTAATGATATTCATAGTTTATTTGAGAATGTCAAAAATATTATTATAATGTGATGCAATAAATTTGTTTTTTTTGTTCTGCACTTTTTAGTCATTTATGCTTCATATGGATGGATTTTTACATAGTGTTCAATACAGCAGAGGTCCTAGTTAACTCAAAAACATTATTCCCACTTACATCTAAAGTAAGTCTGCTTGTGAATGGAAAGTATGACATAAAATTGGTGCTTAGAAATATATATATTGAAGAACAAATAAATAGATATACATCTAACTATTGTTTCCCTAGCCTTATGGTGCTTCAGTTAATAGGCAGAGGAGATGGAAACTATGTGGAGAGGTTTGGATGTARGTAATTGAGAACAAAAAAGAGGGCTTCATCAGCCTGTACACCCTCCAAGCCCAAGAGGGACCACAAGACTATAGGAGAAAGTTGAACAATGAAACAGAGACACAGGCTTCAGTGCACAAATGAAAAAAAAAAAACAAATATACCTCTAGGGAAGGGGAGTCTTTCATCCACTTCTGCATTAATCACAACCATGATGTCACATCAGAAGGTAGCAGGGACCTCTGGATCCCTTTGGCACTGGAAAGACTTGCAATTTTTCAGGTATCAGAGGAATGACATTAAATATTCCTATTGTTATAACACTTGGCCCTAGATACTGGGCATGAGTGAGACACTATTTCCAAAGTAAATTAGGTGCATCAAGTTCAAGTGAGAAGTGAATGCTCAAGAGATTTCTGAGGAGGATTTAGAAACAACACGTGCTGTCAGTTATGGGGGGAATTTTAAAATTGTTTTAGTGAGATTTAATTTTTATTAAATAGTTACATTGTATTTCATACCTAAGCCACAGGAGAAATGTGATTTACTATACATGGATTCTAAACTCCTTCGGTACTGCATTCATAGCCTATGATTTTCAATACTCTTTAGAATAAATTCAACAATGTCAGATATAAGTAGGCATTCATGAAAGGCATAGTTTTGCAAAGAGGGAGAAACCCAAGAGAGAATTTAGTATCTCTCTTTGCTGAAATGTTTTTCAATAGACTGATCTGAAAGTATAAATCATCTCAGAAAAGGAGGAAAATATTGGTAGATTTGCCAACTAGTGTCTGACAATACAGGAGCACCTGTAGGCCAAACTGGCTTGGGCAGAGATGGTGTTGGTTTTCTTTCTACTTCTTTATCTTTGTTACTATCTGTCCCCAGCCAAGGGTTTCTACGGAGGCACAGAAACTACAGGAAGTTCTTGCCCAGAAAATGTTTCTTTCTATCATAGAGAAGCTATAGAAAGAAAAGATGCTACAAGCTTGAACTTGACTCCTGAGTCTACTACTTAGTACGTGTATGATCTCAGCTAAGTTACTTTGCTTTTTTGTGCCTCAGCTACATCATCTATAAATGGCAAATATGACACCACCTATTTACATAGAGCATTGTGAGATCTAAATGAGATAATCCAAGTGATGCACTTGCAAACTAGAACTGATAGTGCTCAATAAATGTACATCCAAGTTGTCATTTAATTGTGCCAAAGTTCAGTGCTCCCTGGATACACAGAGACCTTTACTCTTCCTTGTTCATTACATTTATCACACATGCCTATGTGCATAATCAAGAGAGCAATAAATTGTTGAGTCAGTTGTTTCTGCAAGAGTCTGTGAAGAATAAGCACAGAATCACATATTCAAATGTGTGATCTCCAGGGCCTCCTGATGGGAGTCAGTTGTCTTGGCTTCCATGTCTGCACAGGAGATAAGAGCATCCAGGGGCCATGTCTGACAGCAGAAGGCAGCAGACTTCATCCCTGCCAATGTAGCTTCACCCACTCAAGTGGAATGAATTGACTTAATATTTTTTCCCTTCCTGAGAGCAGAAGGCATGAATTCACACATCTTAGTACCAGGTCACCCAGTCTGTTCCCATTTTCCCATGTCAGGCAGCCCAATGTGAAATGCCTGATGATCATTGTTATTTGGAAAGCCAGATGGAACTGAGACAAGGCCATGCCCCTCAAGTGTGTTCTCATTTGTGCAAAGGTCTGAGCTGACCAGGAGCAAAAGGTCTTACTTCAGAGAGTGTTCTACTATGTTCTAAGAAACGGAGCAACAGAATAAGCATCTACTACTTCAAAAGAGATACCTTTTGGGGAATCATAATCAGGTTCTATGTGTCTCTGGGAAATATACAATGCAGGTAAACAGTGTAAAATGTTGGTCTAGGAAATGAATTCTTCCCTAAGAATCAAACAGAGATTTTTTTCCCCCCACAAAGATCTAAAGACAAAATACTATATTTTGTTTGATTTTATATAGTATTTGTTAATGTGCTCTAAACCATAGATTCTTTATGCCCAGTGGGTTGTTTCCTTTAAAAAAAAAAATCTTTGTCAAACTCAAGGTTATGAAGATACTCTTGTTTCCTTTTAGAAAGTTTGGTTTTATCTTTCAAAATTAGATTGACAGTCCAGTGAGAATTATTTCTCATATTATGGGAAGACATAGATAGTCAATGGCCTCAATATCCCATGTAGATATTCAATGTTGCAGCACCATTATTGAAAAGACTATGATTTGTTTATTGATATTTATGTATTTGTTACTGAAAAAAAAATATATATATATATACATACTCTGTAAGTACATACTCATATATATTCATTTCATTAGATTATACATAAACATATATTTTTATATACCTCTGTTTCTTGACTCCGTTCCATTTCTTGACTCTAAGAACATTCTTAGCCACTGTTTCTTCAGAAGTGATGCTTGCTCCTTATGTCCCTCTTTGCTAGGCCTATAATTCCATCTGTGTTATACCTACCTATCATTTCATCATTTTCTACCAAATTTTTTAGTTGTATATGGACATAGTACTTTATTTTATTTATTTATTTATTTATTTATTTATTTATTTATTTATTTATTTATGTGGTGCTGAGCATCAAATCCAGTGCCTCACACAGGCTAACCAAGTGCTCTACTACTCATTTCCTTTATTTCTTATCTTTTATTATTATTATTATTATTATTATTAGTAGTAGTAGTAGTAGTAGTAGTAGTATATTATTCCTTTTTAGCCAACACTTTCTGTCTGGTCTTATTTAGGAATTTGAAATCCAAGCCTATTATACAGTATAATATATCAATTGACAAAGTTCTTGAAGAGAAATATAAGATAAAATATTGTACTAATCCCATCAAATCCCTCATCTCTCGAGAAGAGAACTTAGCTTCCCAGTCTTCTTGATTTGGTTTGCTGCAAGCTAATCTGTCATAGCCTCAGGCAGAAGTCCCCACAGAATTTATTTATGTGAAATACAAGCAATTCCAATTGACCCAAATTAACTTGTATAATTCTAGTTCCAACTACAGGATTTGGGGGAAATCTCAGTATTTAGAATATTGGTCTTGAAAGGCACTCATTTAGGAGTATTAGGAAAAAAAAATATTAAATTAAAGCACTGGTTTTTAAGTAGCCCTTGGACCAGAAGGAAAGCATTATCTAACCCACAGTTTCAAACTCAATATTCATTTATCCCATAGGAACAAAAATACAAATAATTTTGATGTAACCTGACAAAGCAATCCTAATTACTTCACCTTTTTCTTTCAAGTCATGCCCCAGAACCTATGATTTTGTTCTCTCCTTATTTGTCCTCTCCCAAAAACACTGACATTGTTTTTGATTGTTTTCCTCCAAGCACAAGGCATAACCTGTGAACTTGCTCCAAAAAGGAATTCTTAGGCTCCATGCCAACTCTCCAAATGAAAATCTTTGGGGATGTGACCAAAACACAGCATTTGAACATGCTCTCCAGGGGAGTCCATGCATGTCAAAGACCTGAAGCCAAGAGCTGTCAGAAGAGGAAACTGGAAGGCAATGGTRTATATTTAATATTGACTTTTAAAATCCCTTTTTATTTGCTTGGCCCAGTACAGTGCTGGGCACATTTTAGCTTCCCCTAAAATATRGTGGAAGGTAGGACTGCCTGGTGTAATAACTGAAATAATGTAATGAAAGTACTTGTCCTGGGAGGCCTTCTTCTTCATTTACAAGATGACAAAAATCCTGTGTGCATTCTAAACCTCATAGGAGAACCTTCATCTTATCTGCCGTCTATGTAGTCAGAAATTTCAGACAACCATAGTTTGGCAAACAATAACTGATGCTCATAATGATAGCCCTCAGGTGTTACCAAAATACAAGCTCTCAACTGTCAAAGATATTAGACTTGGTGATGTTTAGATTGGCCTTCGTGATGTATGTTTGGCCAGCTTGTTCCCTTTGAAAAAAAATTAAAAAGTCAAGAAGTGAGGCTGAGAGGGCAAAAGCATTAGCATCTTTTAGGTCGGTGAGTATATGTGTGGGTTAAATTACTCTGGGAATACTGTTAATGTATCCTGAGAATATATTTTGCTGAAAGTACCAATAAAGCAAAGTTAAAAGACCAAGAAACCACTGCATCAAAAATGAGAAGGTTAAAAAAGATACGCAAAGGGAACTATGCTTTGTTAGAACAAAATCACCAGCTCTAGAAGGTGAGAGGGAGACAGGAATCAGCCTACCTCTTCCAGCTGCACCATGAGAGTGACATTGTGCCCCTGTTCTGCAGTCAGCTTTCCATCTGCAGTGACGATCCGGAGGCCACGAGGGGCCTTCCCCGGACACTTCTGTGGTTTGGCTGTGTATTGTTCTCGCACTCCATCAGTGCAGTTATTGGAAACCACCTTTCTATACCTAAAAGGAGAAAAGCTCAAATTGTCAACTAGCTCTTTACAAAGAAGATCACTCCCACCATTTTACTACACTGAGCTKCTTGGCCCTGAGGACCGTCAGGGACATCATCCACCTACCTTCCTTGTTACTCTGAGCATTAGGGCTGATTCATATCTAGCTTCTAATAGAGATAAATAGAGAGAAATAATTGGAGCAACAAATTGTTACCTATTATTTGYATCTTAATCGACTTCTTTGATTCATCAAATCAACTGATGAATCACTTCTTCATTTTGGAACTGTAGGAAATGCACACAGTGGAAGACACTGTCCCTACACTAAGTCAAAAATCAGGATGAAGAGACATAAATCGATAATTAAGGAGATCATTTAAAGAACATATAATTAAGGACCAGAATGAATAATACAGTCCTGGGCATATGTTCTAAGATCCCCATTGATGCCTGAACTATGAATAGTAACAAACCTGATAAATACAAGCTTTTCCCTATACACATATGTCTATTAGAAAGTGTGATTTACAAATTAGATACAATAAGAGATTAACAACAATAACAATAAAAGTGAACAATTTCAATAATAGACTATAATAACATTGGTGTGAATGTGGTCTCTCTCTGTCTCCCTCTCTCCCTCCCAATATCTTACTGAACTCCCAGTCTTCCTATGATGATGGGAGATGAACAATGGCTACATGATGAGACGCTGTTAACTGAATGACAAAGGCATTGTGATGTAGAGTTAGGCATGGATTCACCTCACTGCTCAGAATGAGACACAGTTGAAAACTAACAAAACATGTATTTCTGGAATTTYCCATTTAATATTTTTTGGCTGCAGTTGACCATGGGTACCTGAAACTGTGGATAAAGGAGGACTACTGCATAGATGGCAAGGGAACTTACAATTCGGAGAAAGGATGCTACAATAATGGCATAGTACAGAAAAAGCTGGCTAAATTTGGTAATTTCTCATCATTTCTTGAGAAGGTATACTGATTGAACTATTGAAACCTTACACCAAGGAGGCTTCAGTTTTTGCATTCTGAGTAAATCCTTCAAACTTTTGCTTATTCTCATTTTAGCTCTAATAAAAGAATAAACGAATTATCTTATAAATATGTCCCTTTCAATTTATTAGAAATTTATCAGCTTCATGGTAAATAAGAATCTGTATATTCAGGATGACCAACCTTTAAGAACTTTGAGGTTCAGTATTACCAATTCATCTTTTTTCCCCCCTGAGGGGCTCAGCAACCCCTGTAGTTATATTTGATCTCTCAAATTCACTTTTCCAGAGTTAGTAGTAGAACATAAATTGGAAGAAATCAAAATATACTAGACCAAGGTTGGTAAACTTTTAAGAGGCCAGCTAATAAGCCTTTTGCTTTGTAGGCTATGTAGTCTTTGTCACTACTACTCAGCTTGGTGACTATACCATGAAAAGTTCACACAGTACATAAAAGAATGGGTAAAACTAGGTTCCAGGAAAACTTGACAACACTGGCAACAGATTGGATCTATCTGAGCTGCAGGCAGTTTTCCAATTCATCTACATCTAGCCAATGTCCTTCCCTCTGTTCCTGAATCTCAGAATTGACAAGCTAAACGCAGGGTTAAATAATCAATGAGAAACTTGCAAAAGCACTGTGGACATTATGGATCAGCACAAGGTCAACCATTAATACTTAACTCATGTCATGGGGTAGGTGCAAGAATTCCATGAATTTATGTATCCAGATTGCTGAAAACTGCCCTATCACTTAGCAAGTACTTGTGAAATGTTTTCAACTATTTTCAGTTAGTATTGTTATTTCTCTTCCCTGTTCACAAGCTTCATGGTTTCCAAATGCCCTCCGGATAAACTGCGAATCCTGTAATTCTTCACATAAGCCCTCTACAAGATGATTTTATTCTACTTTTTCTGAAGTTTCTCCCCAGCCAGCTCACTCTGCTCCATCCAAATCTCTTTCTAATCTTCTTGAAACCATTTCTTTTCTTCTGCTCCTTCTGCTTCTGTGTCCTCTTACATGGCCAATTTGGAATATTTATCCCTATGACACATCCTTTCTTTACTATTACCCTGCACTGCCTCTTTACAGTAGTAAGATTGACCCACATCTACACTCCTAAAGAGGTCTTCATGATTCATGTAATATAAATTATTTGAATTGCATGATTTCACAAGATTCCTGAGAAATGTATAAACTTTAAACCTCCTTGAGGGTCTCCTTGTGCTCAAATAAGCAGAGCTGAGAATCTAGCTCACTGGCATGACTGTATCAGTTTACATGTTGACATACCAGCATAGCATCAGTTATTACTGCTGCCCCAAACACTCACCCCTCACCCACCAAATGAGCCGTGCTGATCTGTATCCTGGGAGTCCTTGCTTCTCCTCATAATCCATCAACTAAGGAGTTAACACCTAGCTGAATGGGCAGCCTCCAAATTCCAGCTCCAGCACTTAGATCACTGCCCATTCTGCTGGGTCACTGTCATGCCTGAGCAATTTGAACATCAGCCTAGAAAAGAAATTCCTTTTTATGTTTTTATGAGTGTAAACTGATTAAGAGAGAAAATAGGGCAGGTGGGAGAGGAAAGAGAGGAAAAAAAAACTCCCATGGTGCATACCTTGGAGAATGAAAACATTTTGGTAACAGCAATGGTAGCAAGAAAATGACCAGCAAAACCCTCCAGAATAATCATGGCATCTCAGGGAGTTTAACTGTGCATTAGAAACTRCCTGTTGGTTTCAGAGGGGTGGCAGTGTGCAAACTAAAGGCAGGTTATGTTTTTTAATTGCATAGCATCAAACACACCTGTGGCTCCATCTTGGAGAGCAGCACCAGAAGCACTGGCCCACCACTGCTACTGGCATCATGAGGTGCAGAGTATTTCTTTTGTTTGTCACCCGTTCTGACCAATCATCACCTCAGGTTCTCCTAAATCCTGCAGCAACAGGAGCTCTGCTTCAACCCAAAGCACGAATCTATCCTCCTGGGATTCTGCCACAGAGAAGGCTGTTGGTGATTTTTTTTTTTAAATGCTCATTAAAAACCATTCTGAAACCATTTTATTTCTTGGATGAAAATGGCATCACATTATCCCTACCAGACCTGTCCCTGAAATTTAGAAGAAAATTGTGCAGAAATACAGAGTTAATTTACTCAAGTAAGCACACACCTGCTTTTTGCATTACAGAATGGTTCTATTTTCATCCCAGCAGCTGTCCCTGGGTCTGAGTTACATAAATGAATAATGCATTTAATATGTTATTAAATGGGGCTGCTACCTCCGTAATAACAAGGCAACTTGTGATTATGTTGGACCTGAGCTCTGGATATTACTGAGATGCATTTAGTTGGTAAAGCATTCTTCAATCTGCCAAGGAGAAAAGTGCTTTGTAATGGCAAGGGAGTCTTTGTACAATTACTGAAAAGGAAATATTCTGCAAATGTGCCTTTGATATTACCTACAGCTCATCAGTGGAGACTGCCTTATTACTCCAACACCCTCAGTTTCAGCCATTCTCCTCCTTCCTATCTTGATATGACTCTGTCACCTCTTCCTTTTTACCCATACTTTCTTTCATTTTGCTTCTGTGCTGCCTGGACAATTTTTTAAAAAAAGATGAAGGCCATATTTTCTTCTTTGTGAGGCTAAACCTGGAAAGAAGCATTGTGAGTCTTCATACTCCAGRTTTTTCTATTCAGCCTTTTTTTTTCCTCTTGTGAATTTGAGGTGGTGTGGTCGGACTATATGTATTTATAACTATTCACTTATTAAGGTAAGAGTATTGTGTAAGCTCAGCAGATCTCAAATCTAATAATAACTGCATATTTATGGAGTACAATGTAATCAATATAGACATTGTAGAAAGATTCAATCAAGGTAACAAACATATATATCAAGTTATTTTTTTGTGGTGCAAACATTAAAAATCTATCTTTTTGGAAAATCTTAAATGCACAATATGTTGTTATTAACTGTGGTCTCGTGCAGATCACTAAAACTCATTTCTCCAGTCTAACTACAACTTGTATGCTTTAAAGGACATCTCCCTTTTCACTATCATCTACCCACTATGGTAAACACCTTTCTCTTCTGATTCTATGGCAGCAATTTTTTAAGATTCCACATGTAAGTGAGATCCTGTGGTGTTTGTCTTCCTGTGATTATTTCACTTGGCAGCATGTTCACTAGTTCCATCCATGGTGTTGGAAATGACTGAGGGTCATTMTGTTTAAAGACTTCTTAGTAGTCCACTGTGTATACCACATTTCCMTTATTCATTCATCTACTAATGGACACCTATTTGGCTTCCATGTTTTGCCCACTGGAGTAACGTTGCAATGAATATGAGAGTACACTTATCTCTTTGACATTCCATAAGATGCAGAAATCTCACTTCTATCTGACCCTTTGAATCACTTGAGGGCATTTTATACATTTATGATGCCTAGGACCTTCCCCTAGGAATTTGAATTTAATTGGGAACTTTGGACATCAGTTTGTTTTGTTTTCACTTTAAGTCCCCTGTTGATTCTAGCTTGCAGCCAGGATTAAATGCCAGTACCCTGGAGGTTAAAACTAGTGTTGTGGAACCAAATTGTCAATTGTTTTTCATTCTATGTGGGATGCTCTTTCCTCCTCTTACACTTTGACTCATGCTTTAAAAAATAAGCCAAGAAATCAGGCTTTGATGTAAAGATGCATCTTCCTTTTTTTTCATAGGAATTATAACATGTAATGACCGAGATAAACTGGAACTCTAGTTCTTGCTGTACCCAGTTGGATATTATTGCCACTGAGCGATGGTTTCCCATATTAGCACTCACAATGAGAAAAAAATAAAATAGTTTCATTTTGTGGATTGGACTATGTGCTTTGGTTTCAAGGGAAAACTCTGCTTTGTTCTAATGATACTGGACTTAATGAAGTAGGAAATAGAGCAAGCCTTAGGGACACAGAAGGGGGTTGGGTCTGGGTACAGTGTGT